CCAAAGCTGCTGCTTATATTCGGGAAGCAGACCACATACCCAAGGGCAGCTACTCAGCCACAGTAGATTCCACCATGGAGCTGATTACCAGTCTCATCATAGGGAATACTACATCCAGCTGCCCAGCCACTCAATCAGGCCTAGCCAAGTTGACACAAAAAAACATAATCACCACAGCTCCTCACTGATTCTTCCTAATTCATCCACCTGCCAATGGCTGACTCTGTTCTTCAGATTTTCACACTGCCCATCCCCTCGCTACTAACAGCTTTGGCAAAAACAAAGTTTTCACAAGGTGAAACAAGGAAAGCAACACAGAGTGAATCTGGAAGGCAGAGGAGAGTTGGCCCCAAGACAACATACCAGTGAAAACAAAAACCCAGACTCTAGGAAAACAAATATTTGGCCCCTCTTATTGCAAGAGCACAGGACCTCAGGAATGAGGGAGATGGGGGAGGGGGGTCCAGTGTAAAAATAGAGGAAAGGTAACAGTTGGACTTGCTAGTTGTGTTTTCAATGGTGAGATTTTATTGAACAAACATTAATTAAGGGCACAGCATGCTGTGAGCACTGGAATGCAAAGAAGTGTGACACATGATCTCTGCCAGGCCAAAAGTACACACTGAGGTAAAAAACAAGAGAAACCCTAATATGACTGAGTGCCAAGAGGTTAGGACAAATGCTGAAGGAGTTTAAAAGAGACCAAGGAAAGATATATTTAAAAAAAAGTTATTACATAAGGACAAATATTGTATGAGACCACTATTGTAAAAAGTCAAGAAAAGGGTTTCACACAAAAGAAGAAATATTCTTTGATAATTACCAGGGGTGGGTGATAAAGGGAGGGTAAACTGCTAACTACAGAGTAGACACATATTAACTTGGGTGAAGGAAAGAAGCAAAAAAAAGAAAAGAAAACATTCCGAGAAGTGGAGACAAGATGGCATCCTGGTGACACACTCCACACAAACCCTGTACAACAGAGACTCAGAAAAACCAAGTGAAACAGACACAGATGATTATCCTGGAACTATGAGCATCAAATGAGAGGATAAAGAATTAGAGTGAATGCTAACTAGAAAAGGAGATGGAGCAAGGACAATAATTGAGCAGAGAGAAGATGCTAGGGCCTGACAAAATATGGCCATCTTGAGACACAGAAGGCATCATACATAAGAGTAGAAGCCAATTTCACAAAATCCACACTGGGAAAGAGACACAGTATGGACAGATCTGGAGTGAATCAAGGTGAGCAGAATATGTGCTGGATTTGAGAGAAGCAAGTGCAGGGAAACTTGCAAGGTTCCCAGTGGCACAGGCAACACCACAGCGAGGAGAGAGCCAGTGAAGGGGAATGAAATAATTCAATACTAGGGAGCTCTGGTAGCATAGTGGCTAAGGCACTTGACTGCTAACCAGAAGGCTGGTGGTTCAAACCCACTAGCCACTCCTCGGAAGAAAGATGAGGCAATCTACTTCTGTAGTGATACTGCCTCGGAAACCCAAGGAGGGGTCGCTATGAGTCAGGTCCGACTCGATAGCACATAACAACAACAACAACAACAGTGTACACTAGTGTGGGTTGAAGGCCCACTCAAATGGGAAGGCCTGTGGGGTGGCAGTCTGAGATGCTGGACTACAGGTAGTCCACCACTTGACAGAGTCTGGGCAGGAACTGGATAATCAACTGCACATACCCAGAACTGTACCACATGCACAGCAGTGAATTACAACTTCTACCCATCTGTAGAGAGTGCTGCCAAACTAACAACCAAAGAAGCAAGCCTGCCCCACTATTCTGGATATATGAAAACAAAGGGGGAAAAAAAAAAAAAAAGGTGAAACTAACAAATACATAATCAACAAGTAAAAACAACAACTCCAAAATGTCTTATAGACAACAACAACTTCAATTCAAACAAAGAAGTAAGACAA